GTTTAATTAAAAGAAAAAAAGAAAAGAGTATTAATTGAAAGAAAAAAAGGTTCGTTGTTAAATTTGTGTGTTTTAAGAGCCAATAATTATTTATTATAAAAAGAAGAGTTGGCATAAATTTAAAGGAAAATTCAACAAAATTTATGTTTTTATTTAAACTATAAAGCTTTATAGTTTAAATAAAAACATAAATTTACAAAATTTATGTTTTTATTTAAATATTAAATACCAACAAACAGGATGTGAGTCTTGACATAATTCTTAAGTTAATCTTAAAAATTATTTACTCTTTTCTGAGATTTTTTTTTTAAATTACATTATTTATATTACAATTAATTTATTTTTCAAATTATATTTTCGAACTAATCTTTCCGTTTGATATTTTAAATTTCATTTCACGTACATATATCCGTAGGATCTTCGCATTTTATATTCCTTAATCGTTCTCCTTTAAAACGAAAATTGACCTACCTCAAAGTTATTTCAAGCCGTGTAACCTTCCAGGGATGAATATAGGTCAGTGACGAGAATGTAAAAAAATAACATGCTCGCGCATTCGCATAATACACATGATGAAAGAATTTTTTTGCTCGAGTTCCGAAGTTGCGAGCAGGTTTTAGAATATTTATTTTCATCCGTATCAATATAATATCTACAAAGAAATGAAAATAGTATACGTTTAATATATTATGCGAATAATCTTCCTTAGAAATTTATTCTCTAATGGAAAGTTATTATAATTATATTCGAATTGAACAAATTATATTTGTTATTTCAGTGTAACATTAATATTCATCCAAGTAGAAAAATAATTTGTCGAAAAGTTTGTGACATACATTTTTGAAGAGGAATACAATTCAAATTGATTTGGTCATTTAAATTTTAAATACCAATAACAAGTTGGATCTAAAAAAAAATTCCTAAGTCAATTCGAAAAATGATTTAATAATTATCGAGATATAAAAAAAAAAGAAAGAAACAAATTTCGTTAGATCAATCGTGTAAATAATAGATAAATAATTGACGTTGAGAAACAATTTGAAAACAAAAAAAAAAAAAGAAAAAAGAAAACGTAACAGAAAGAAATGAAATCTCGTTTTTCACTTTTTTTTTTTCTTTATTTTATCAAATCGAATGATCTCTGACCACACGCAGTTGCGGTAATGCATAACTCGCGAAATGATTATGCTCGTTGCGGGATAACTCAACGATTTTGAACATGTAGCAGAAGAAGAAGAAGAAGAAGAAGAAAAATAAGAATAAGAATAAGAAGAAGAAGAAAAATAAGAATAAGAATAAGAAGAAGAAGAAAAATAAGAATAAGAATAAGAAGAAGAAGGAAAGAGAAAGACGAGAAGTCGAGAAGGTGCCTCAAGCCACTTAAACATTTTTATTCCGACATGGTAAAAAAAAATAATCACGTGGGTGAAGCTTTTACTGCAAAGCCCACGCCAAGGAAGAACATCGGACATTGCCATTTCCTACCATTCGAATACCCACGCACATATTTACTATTTGTTTTTCCTAATATTTTCTTAGAATTATCGTTAGAAGGGAGGGGGAAACAATTTCGTTATCTTCAATACCAACTTTCGATTTTTTTCTGAAAATTAAATTATTTTCTTTACCATCGTGAGTTTTTTTCTGGGCATGTACAATAGTCAAATAATAAATTAAATTATTAAATAATATATTTTAATATAACCTTAAAGAGTATTAGTAAAAATTTATAAGTAATTATATAAATTTGAAGATTTTTTTAAATGACAGTAACATTGAAAAAAGCCACGCCCATGGCGACGTTAATAAACTCCGTAAGGCCGATTAATGTTTAAACAAATTTTTCCATTAATTTGTAATCCACATTTTTATATACTTTAATTATTAATATATAATAATAATATAGTTTCCTTTTTTTTTTGTTGTAAAAATAATTAAGATTGTGTCAGATTTAGATAAGATGACAATTATGAGAAAGATAAAGAAATACAAAATTTGATAATATTTAAAATTGTATTAAATTTTTCTCAAAATCATTATCACTTAAAATGTATAATTATTATAAATTCATTTGTTTTCAAACAAATAGAATATTTAGTAAAATTTCTATTACCTACAAAATAATTTCAAAAAATAAATAACAATGATAGAGGCAAGAAAAAGAGAGGGAAAGAAAGAAAGACAGAGAGAAAGATAGACAATATTTATTAATATAGTATTAGATGCAAAGAAATGTCTGTCATTTAAAAATATAATTACCAACGCAGACGATAATAATTATGAGGAACAGAAAGAAAGAGAAATAGAAAGAAAGAAAGAAACATACAAACAGATAGACAGACAGCTCCTTGATATTAACGATCCCTACTAAATTGGACAAGACAAAAGAATAATAGTCCACTGAATAAAAAAGAATCAGAGAGAGAGAGAGAGAGAAAGATAAAGACGAAAAATAAGGATAGAAATGAAAACGTTACTCGGCACAAATTAGCTGTGATTATAACTGACAAGTTTGCGAAAAGAAAAACATAAGAGAACTTTGATGCACAAACAGCAAAGCAGAAAGAAAGAGAAAGAGAAAGAAATAGAGAGAGAGAGAAAGAGAGAGAGATAAAGATAGAAAGATAGAAAGAATAAGATGGAAGTAGAGCGATCGATGAATCGGTTGCTTTGGCTCTCCTTTAACAACTTTAACTTCAATAAGGATAGAGAGAAATATAGATAGATAGATAAAGATAGATAGATAGAACAATCCCCGAGGCAAATTCCTTCTGCTCGATGTAATTATTATTCGTTCGTGTTCGCTCTTGAGATGGATGGAAACTGTGGTAAATAGAACGGAAGGTGTCGGGCGTGGGACGAAGCCTGAAGATGCGTTCGCGGGACGAGAACACCAAGAAAGATTGCCGTTAATCCTTTCCCGCTTATTCCATTTCATTTCTTAACAAACAAGAATCACAAAAACGATAATATATATTTGTTTTCTTATTTTTTATTTCATATCGGTCATCTTTTTTTGTAATTATTATTATTATTTTTCATAATTATTGTATCCCAATTGGCATTCCTAATTAGAAGAACAGTAACCGATAAAAGAATTTTCTATTGGAAATAATAGTATCGAATAGTAATAATAATATTGGTATTTAGGTAATTATGGGATAGATATTTTATATTATTTTTTTTTATTTTTGGTTTTATATAATTATTTATTTATTTATTTATTATTTGTCGTATTGAGTAGCTGGAAGGGTTTGTATTCAGTGCAACAAGTATTTGATAAGTATCATATACTACCTTTATATTTATTAATATGTATTGTTATCCTTTAAAATCACAAATTTTCCATTCTAATTAATTTAATCAAAATTAACAAATTAAATATCATTTCTTTGTTTTTCTTTCTTGTTAAATCAACGAATAAATGATTTCAATTATAAAAACCGAATATATGAACATGATTATATTATTTAATGAAAAGTCTACGTGTATACTTAAATAAATTTGTATGCATGAATGTAAATAGATGCATGTACGATCCTTGGCAATCCGATTTCAGATATCATTCTGATTGTGAGTAGTATTACGTTTAACGGTCGGTGGCAGATCAAAGAAAGGAAGTATTCAAATTGGTAGAAGAAGGAAGTATCCAAGTACTCGAGAGAGTATACGCATATAAATGCCCTTAGAATGGTGCATACGCAATCGTTGTTTATTACACATATACGAATGAACGATGACAGCCAAGGATCGTGACGTGTATACAAGTAGGATAGAGTATATATATACAGGGTGTTTTAATTCAATTGATCAATTTTAAACGATCAATTTTAATTTAACAATAAAATCAAAACAATATATTTTGCATTTAATTATTTTTATAAAAGTTTCAGACAATTTTTTAATGGTTCTTAAAATTCATTGTTAAATTTAATTTTATGATGAATCAATTGAAATAGGACACCGTGTATATAAAGAGAAGTCATTAGTCAAGTAGTAGCGATCATCTACGTGTGCTCTTATTTCCGAACCTTCGTCTTCTTCGTCTTCTTCTTCTTCTACTTCTTCATCATCATCATTTTCTTCTTCTTACTTTGCATCCTCGTGGAATCTCACAATCAGATGATGTGAATCATCTCTTGCAAGTCTACTTACGAGTTTCTTGCTCCCGAAGGATTCTCTTACCGCTTTTTATTCTTTATTCTCTTCCCTATCACGTAAACTTATATATTCTAAGCGAAAACTCGTAAATATTATATTTTCTTTTATTATTATTATTATTATTGCACGTAAAAATTGGTATGAATATATTATGAATATAATTTTTTTTAAATATTTTAATATATTATTCACACATCATTTCTGAAGACTCATTAAATTAAATATAATTCAATTGTTTTTTTAATGTCGAATATACAATTCGTTACATTTCATATTTTATTAGCATATTTTTCTGAAATTTAATTTAAAAACATTTTCAAATATATCTCAGAAATAAAAAATAAAATTATACTCATCTCGTAGGTCACATTTATAATGTTGCAATAATTAATTTGAGCAATTTTTTTCGATACAATCAATAAAAAACAAATTATATGAGAAACTAGTTCACAATGACTCACTCTCCATGAATATACGCGTAGGTCAAAGTTCATGGATGTCACTATTTCGCGATAATCGTTTAAAAGATTTTATCGTGATAGTCCTTGTTGGAACGTGTAGCCTTGATGAAAAGAAAAATATATTTTGTTATTCCCTAGAGAGACGACGGTCTTTTTACGGTTCTCGAAATGGTATTTTGAAACCGTGAGAACAAAGTTTTTCGCAAATAACAGAGAAAATGAAAGAAAAATAAAGAAACAAAGAGAGAGAGAGAGAGTATGATCTTATCTAGTGGCTTTACAAGAGTAGTTTGTGGTAAACACGACAAATTTCTGTGATGTCTTTGTAAGATGATCAGTGAACTTGATATAACATGACAAATTCCTTTTGTGTTACAGGTATGCCGTTGTATGGATCTTGACCATAACTATACCAAGTTACAAGGTTAGTATCATTTACAAATTTTTTCTATTACTCTATTAAATATAATTTAAAATACATGTATATAATTAAATTGCAAAAAAACAAGGTAATATACAGATTAGATAAAATAATTAAAACATAAATATAATATATACTTATTTATTATATATATATATCATATGTATTATTA